GGCGAGACAATAAAGACTGTCTCGCATGGGCGAGACAGTAAAAGTCTGTCTCGCCCGCGAGACAGTAAAGACTGTCTCGCATGCGAGACAGTCTATACTTGTGTTCTTTTTGATATTTTGGATGACTTCCTTTTGAGCTGTGTTTGGATACCTCTCAGCATTTTTTGACGCCTACACTCACCTCCTTCTCTCCCCTCTCTCTTCTCTTGTAAGAGTCAAAGAGGAGACGCCAACGCCGCCAGTTGTCGCCTCTTGAAAGAAGAAGAAGGGCGATGACAGAAGGGTGGAGGGGGAGGGGGAGGGGGAGGGTGATGGAGGCGGTGGCCGAGATGCAGGGCAGGCACGCTGTAATGACCGTAAATTTTTAATACTGGTTTAAATAATTATTCTGGTATTTAAATATTATTTTTAAAAGAGTATTTGTATTTTCCCCAACTTTCTAGAATTTGTATAATTTAAAAATCCAATTTTATATTTATTTTAATGATTTTGATAATTATAAATTAATTTGTTGTAGTAAAAATCTTTTTATTAATTTTGGTTATTTATTATTGTTATTATTATTATTTGTATTATTAATTATCTTGTATTAATATTTTTAGTTTGCACCACTTATCCCATACCGCTATTTGTAGCTGTCAGGTGATCAGCACGACAGTCAATTTATTATCTGGCTTTTTCCCTGTGTTTTCCTCTCCAATAAGTCTCTCTCTCCCTCTCTCTCATTTTCTCTCTCTCCCCTACCCCACTCCCCTAAAACCCTCCCCAATTCACACAAATCCCCTCCCTCGTGTCCCGCTCCCACCCCCTCTCTCTCCTCTATTATTCCTCAGCATACATCTCCCTCGTGTCCCTCTCTAGTATTTTCAGAATAATTATGATAAATTAAAAGAATTTATTTCGGTAGCAGAATCATTTTTGGATAATTATATTAATTAAAAAGAATTTATTTGAGAATGAAATCATTTTGGAATAATTATAATAATTTTTAGAAATTATCTTGTGGAAGAAATTATTTTAGAATGATAAATATTTTTAAAAAGAAATTATTTTAGGAAAATAGACTATTTTGAATTAATGAGAATTTATCTTATAAAAAGATTATTTATGAATTTATGAATTTATTATTTTAAAATATTATTTTTAGAATTATTATAATGAGAAAAGAATTTATTTTAGAAAAAAAGAATTATTTTGAAGTAAATAAATTATTATTTCAGAAGATTATTTTAGAACAATTTTATGATTCAAATTCTTAATTTTGATTATCTGATATGCTATGATATTGTTGTACATGATTAGTTGCATTGATTGTTCCTTGTTGTGATTGAGAATCGTTAGGAGTTTATGACTATATGGAAGCTTGTTGTTCTATCACCTAGTTGTTATCCAATAGGAGAGACTGTACATAAAGACAACTCCTGTTAAAAGTACGATTTATAAGCGTGCTTCAAAGCATGGTTATACTCGTTCGACATCGATATCCCGATGTGAGGAGTCTCGAGTTCCCTCGATATCGATATCCCGGTATAAGGTTTTCTTGATTATTATTATTATAGCATTGACTAGACGATGCACTCTTGATCGGACGTGTAACGTGTCACGGTTATTTTCATAGTTTTACAGAAGTCGTTCCACGGTAACTCCGTAGCTAGTGCACAATATTTCATGTACAGTTACGTAATTAAAATGACAACATAGGGTTATAAAGGAGAATTGGACGGAGAATATAGCATGTATATAAACGGGCACAGCGCTTTCCTGTTATCGTGATATCGTGAGTGTTATATATATGGGCCAGAGGGTCAATACTTGACTTGAAGGCGGCCCCTGGACAGGTTTACGGGGACCCGATTATATACTTTAAAATATTCTTCTCCAATTCAAATAACGTGTAAAATATGTATAATGTGCTTGTGTGTCTTATGGGAAGCTTTGTTAGTTTTGTTGAGATGTGGACCAATGAGTTGTTATAGAATGACTAGTTACATGACCTCGTTTATTGGACGATTATGGATTCTTATGAGATATGGACCAGTTATATTTCTTTCCATATATAGATCGGGGTTAATATTTAATTATCTACAATTTGAGACATATGGTATATACATAAGGGTTTCCTTGTTTGGATTATTTCGCTCGACGTACTACGTCTCTTTTGTATTGGTCGTTCGACCGTTTCTATTCTTCCTTGTGGGATCTTATCGTGTGCCATGCACGCTGACGTACTCCTTTTCTCGCAGGAAGGCTTTGCAGACGGAGCAGAAGAACAAGTCGAAGCTTAGTTACGTCTTTTAGTTAATTAGTTGAAGACCCTAGTTTACTTTTGCAGTACTTTCCATTTCCGCCTGATCGTTGTATTTTATATTTTCCAGCATTCAGATCGTTTTGTATAAAGGCATGTTTGGCCTGAATATTATGTCTGGATGATTATTTCAGTTGTGATATGTATCTTTTGGTTCTGAGTTATTTATTTATATTCTCGCTATGGTGATCAGGGACCTGTGCCTTTGCTTTATATTGCTTGACGCTTAGCGTATTAGATTGAGAAGAAGGGGTCTAGTACTTATTCCTCCTCAGTCTAATACGTCGCGAGCCTGTTCACGTCCCGATTCCCTGGTATTTTGGGAAGCGGGGCGTGACACACGCCGCTGCGAAGGAGGTCTAGAGGAGCTTGCTGGAGCTGCACCAGGTGTTCCTCAACATGGTCGTGATGGTGGAGGCATAAGGGGAGAGGATGGACGACATCGAGCAACACGTGGATGTCATTTGGGCCTTTATTTTTGCT